ACATCTCCCCTTCAGAGTGAAAGCAGGAAGTGGGGCGCCTGGATAGCTCAGTAAGTTAAGCGTCCGACTTTGGTTCAGGTCATGATCTCGCAGTTGTGAGTTCGAGCCCTGGTTGGGCTCTGTGCTGACAGCTCAGAGCCTAGAGTCTGTTTCAAATTCTGTGTGTCCCTCTCTCTCTGCCCCTCCCCCTGCTTGTGTGCGCGCGCTCTCTCTCTCTCTCTCTCTCTCTCTCTCTCTCTCTCAAAAATAAAACATTTACAAATTAAAAAAAAAAGTGGAAGCAGGGGGGAAATAATGTCTTCCTGCGATACACTGCTTTGGTTACACTGTGTACGCCTTTACATCCCCAGTTATGCTGTGAGCTTCTCAAAGCTGGGAACACACTTTCATTTTACTTCTTTACCTCACTTCAGAGTTTTGTTCATTAATAATATCTAACATTTATTGAGTATATACCATCTTCCAACCACTGTCCCAAAAAGGCAACTAGTGAAAACCATTTGGCTGTTGCACCTTGACATGTAGTTGTATAAACTCGAGCAAGGAAACTTTCCTCCCCAGGTGTCATTAGGACCATTTTCTAAGCCATGGATACTCTGCTGGTGTGAGAGTTCTCCCTACCACTCAGCCCTGAAGGCTTTCTTGAGCAGGCAGTGCTAAGTAGGTTTCCTTGGAGCTCACACTGACCCAATCCTTAACAGTTATGCAGGTCTAAAGGATCACTTAATTAGCCTAGTGGTGATAGGCAGAATGACCATGTGTCTCCCTGCCTACCAGACTTAAATAAGAACAGTTCCCCTTCATTGATCCCCTTTAGTGAAGAGAAACTCCAAAATATAGCACCACCGTGCTCTGGTGTATTCATAACCAAAATTCTCTTTCTAGTTCAATACTCAGAACTATCATGATTGTGCCTGCTAAGTGTTCTCCATAGATATGTAGTCCTGGGTCTGGACATCTATTTCAGCATCTTGAGTTGGAGAGACAGCATTACTGAATGTGGGCTATTAACTTGTTTTAGCTTACAGCTTGTTTAGCTTACAGCTCTTCATTCATTCATGTAAAAAGGGAAGGCATTCATTCATCAGAACTCATTCTGTATTGAGGACTTCAGGTTAACTTCCAAAGTTTATCTTCACTTCTCCTCACTACCGAATTTTAAGTGTACTTTTTCTGGTCATTCTAGAAGTGATTTCTAATAACAGAATAATTGGGTCTCGTTTCTTTTAGAATGCAAATTAATTTATACTTCTGAGCTACCGCAATATTGCTATTTCACCATATTAATCACTATGGCTTTTAGATGGTGGACCAGTGTTCTTGGGTGGAGAGCAGAAATTGACCATTTTCCCTTAACAAAGGACTTGAACAAGTAACCTTCCCCAAACAAGTACAAATAGTAAATTTGAAAAACACCAAATAATCAAAGATGATATTTAAAAAGAGATCACGTTTCTCATTAAATTGGCAGTGATTTTTTAAATGCTGTTTTGGCAAGAGTATGGGGGAAGTGGGAACTCATAAACCACTGGTGGGAGTGTAAAATTGTACAGATTTTTTGGAGGGCAATTTGGCAACATAAACCTTAATGGTTTTTTCTTTTTTCTTTTTCTTTTTTTTTTTTTTTTTTGAGGGAGAGCACATGTGTGCAAGGGAGAGAAGGAGAGAGAATCCCAAGCAGGCTCCACAGACATGGGGCTCTCACAACCACAAGATCATGCATGACCTGAGCCGAAATCAAGAATTGGATAGCTTAACCAACTGAGCCATCCAGACACGCCTAAACTTTAATGTTCTTACCCTTTGCTCCAGCCATTGCATTTCAAGGAATCTATCCTAAGGAAGTAATGAGAAAAAAGTTCATTAATAGTTAAGAAAAAAAATGCTCACAATAGGGGCACCTGGGTGGCTCAGTTGGTTAAGCATCCAACTCTTGGTTTTGGCTCAGGTCATGATCTCATTGTTTTGTGGGTTCGAGCCCCGAATCAGGCTCTGAGTACTGACCACGAGGATCCTGCTTGGGATTCTTCCTCTCCCTCTCTCTGCCCCTCCCCTGCTTACACTCTGTCTCTCTCAAAAGGAAATAAATTTAAAAAATTGCTTGTAGTAGCATTTTCACTAGCAAAAAGTTGGGAATACTTCATTTTTTTAATTTTAATTTTTTAAATCCATTATCAGCATTTATTCCATTATCTGTATTTATTTATTTTTAAAGTTTATTTTCAAAGAGGGAGCGTGTGAGCAGGGGAGGGGCTGGGAGGGAGAGAGAGAATCCTAAGCAGACTTCGCACTGTTAAGCGCAGAGCCAGATGCAGGGCTCCATCCACAAACCGTGAGTTCATGACCTAAACCGAAACCAAGAGTCAGATGCTTAACCAACTGAGGCACCCAGACACCCCTATTTGATTTATTTTGGTGTTTATTTTTCAGAGAGAGAGAATGCACGTGGTGTGCATGAGCTGGGGAGGGACAGAAAGAGAGGGAGACGGAGAATCCCAAGCATGCTCTGCACTGTCAGTGCATATCCTAATGTAGGGCTCAAACTAATGAACCATGAGATCATCACCTGAGCTGAAATCAAGAATCAGATGCCAACTAGTGAACCACCCAAGCACCTCAATTTATTTATTTTTAAGAAGGCTCCATGCCCAGTATGGAGCCCAATGTGGAGCTTGAAGTGATGATGCAGATCAAGATCTGAGCTGAGATCAGAGCCAGAAGCTTAAGGGACTGAGCCACCCAGGCGCCTGGGGAATACTTTGTAGCTATTAAAAGTCATGTTCTTGAAAAGAGAGAAAGTTTTTATTATATAAAATAAAATGTTTTCCATAGTATGAGAAAAGGCAAGATATAAAACTTTATAGCAACCTGGCTATGAAAACCTGTATAAATTTATGACACACACATACACACAGATCTATATTAAAATCTGGGAGGTTGTGGGCACCTGTCGTTAAGTGTCCAACTTCGGATCAGGTCATGATCTCACAGTTCGTGAGTTTGATCCCTGCTTTGGGCTCTGTGCTGACAGCTCAGCCTGGAGCCTGCTTCAGAATCTGTATCTCCCTCTCTCTCTCTGCCCCTCCTCCCGCTGGCACTCTTGTCTCTCTCTCCTCAAAAATGAATGAACATTAATTTTTTTTAAATCTGGGATGTTATAACTCAGTGCTGAGTGCCTGTAGGTTAAGGCTGATTGAAAAAAAAAAATCCAACCTCCACAAAATCCAGTTTTCTATAGAGTTATTTATTACTTTATCAGGAAGCCAAAGGTTAAAAATCCAATGAAGACAATTTGATATTTTGGCACTTAGCAGAGTGTAAGTTAGAGGTGCTCCTTACTAGAAACTTTGTTTCTCATTTGAACTGATACTATGTTAATTTATTCAATTCTAGAATCTCAGAATAAAGGGAATACATTCTTTTTTTTTTTTTTTTTTTTTTTAACATTTATTCACCCTTGAAAGATAGAGACAGAGCGCAAACGGGGGAGGGCCAGAGAGATTGGGAGACAGAGAGTCTGAAGCAGGCTCCAGGCTCCGAGCTGTCAGCACAGAGCCCGACGTGGGGCCGAACCCATGGGCCACGAGATCATGACCTGAGCCGAAGTTGGCAGCCCAACCGACTGAGCCACCCGGGCGCCCTGAGAGGGAATACATTCTGAGGTATGCCCTGTACGTCTAGGGCCATACACCTCTTTGCATCATATGAATTTTAAAGATTCCTAATGCATTTTCTCCTTGACCCTCAGGATGTCCTCAGAGGTTGAAAATTTTATTTTTATTTTTTAAAAGATTTTAAGTAATTTCTACACCCAACATGGGACTGGAACTCACAATCCTGAGATCAGGAGTCATGTGCTGTGAGTGAGCAAGCCAGGTACCCCTAGAGGTTGAGAATTTTAATGCTTCTTTATTTTTTCAAGCATCCTTATTTACTTTTTTTCGTGACCTGTTTGCCTCAAAGGGAACAATACTGTTTGCATGTTTTATTTCAATGAAGACATTAGGAATTGATTTTTAAGCAGCTTTTTAGTTTCTTTTTATAGGCTCCTTGATTCTTTTGCCTGATTAAGATTCTTCTTCTTTTTTTTTTTGGCTGTCAGAAATGAAATTGAAATCAGCAATCATAGATTAAAAAAGATAGTCGTGGGGTGCCTGGGTGGCTCAGTTGGTTGAGCATCCAGCTCAACCCAGGGTTGTGGGATCGAGCCCAGCATCAGGCTCTGTGCCAAGTGTGGAGCCTGCGTGGGATTCTCTTTCTGTTTGTCTCTCCCTGCC